CTCGCCCGGCCAGTGGCCCCGTCAGTGCTGTCCTGGGCTCGTCCTCTCGCCCGGCCAGTGGCCCCGTCAGTGCTGTCCTGGGCTCGTCCTCTCGCTCGGCCAGTGGCCCCATCAGTGCTATCCTGGACTCATCCTCTCGCCCGGCCAGTGGCCCCGTCAGTGCTATCCTGGACTCATCCTCTTGCCCGGCCAGTGGCCCCGTCAGTGCTGTCCTGAACTCGTCCTCTCACCCGGCCAGGAATTATGTTTGCCAATTTCCTGTCAAGCTCAGAGTACTTGTGGAGATTGGCTCTGATGTGTCTCAAAAACACACTGTACCCCATGACTGCATTAATGTACACAGCTGTGATTTAATAAAAAAAAAAATAAAATAAAAAAATAAACCCTCTGCGTCCCAGCTCCATGGTACGGGGAGGGACCTCTTCTGTGTGTGGCTCCTTCTTGCGGAGTTTAGTTTTTCCTACAACTGCTCTGATTCCTGTAACTTGCTCACCAGGAGCAAGCCCATACCCTGATGGGCCCTGCCACGTGGGGGGAGGACAGAGATGGGTCAGTCCGGCACTCAGCAGAGAGAGCGCAGGGCAAAGTGGGACCCACTCTCAAACCACCAAGCAGACAAATTATCCCACCTGAGCCTGAAGATAATGGAAGCTCGGAATCACCCAACTCAGAGGCGGAAAAGTGACTTCAGGTGCCATGCTGAAAAATAGCTCCAAATGAAATGCTGGGTTAGAGCGAGGTTTTAGGGAAATATGCTGTCTATGTAACCTGAAAACTCACCAGATGGATACAATGTTTTCAAATAATTCCTCTGGTTGTTGGATGGTCTCATGGGAATTTGTGATAATTCAGTAATAGCAACCTTCAAGGTGAGGATGAAAAGAAGTCTGTGTTTTTGAAAGAAAATCCTGTTAGAAGCAGTTGATGAGTTGGGGCGTGGTGTTCACAATGTTTATAAAGTCCCCACTGTGTGTCGGGAGTCAAAGGTAAACATGGTACAAGCAGCGCCCAAGGAGCCGCCGTCCAGCTGGAGACGTGGATGTCGAAGTCACAGTAACGTCTGTAAGTAATTTTCATCATGCTGCCACCAGCGGCTAGCAGTGCGAGTCAGGAGACAAAGTGTCTGATCTAGTCCAGGCGCTAGAAAGTGGGAGGGTGGAGGGAACTGGTGTCAACCCCAGTGACTGGGAGTTACATGGTTCTGAGTCTCTGCAGAACTCCCTGTATTTTCAAGCTAGGCTTTTCCCTCTCTGTCACTTACAATGTAAAATATGCTTCTTGTCATCTCACGCCGCTGTCACCAAACTCCACAGGGTCGAGGCTGGAAATCCAAGATGAAGGTACCAGCAGAGTTGGCGTCCGGTGAAGGCTTGATTCTTGGTTCACAGATGGTGTCTCCACTGAGTCCTCACCTGGTGGAAGGGGAGGGGACGCTCACTGGGTCTCTTTTGTAGGGCACTAATCCTCCAATCACCACCCAAGGGTCCCATATCCTGATACTATCACCTTAGGGGGGGAGGACTTCAGTTAGTGACTTTGGAGGCTCCAACACCACCTCCATGGGGTGTTGGTACAGTGACCTGCACTGTCAGGGAGAGAGATCTGTTGGTTTTAGAACAAAAAAAGGGCCTTTCTAAAGGGACTATTCAAAGACCCTAAAGTCATGACCACATTTCCAAAGGATGAGATTACATGCCCTGATGTTTTGTTACGTGGCACATACGACAATCTAAAATCAGGGGGTGACCTGGCAACTTTAGAGCCCAATGTCATGACCATCTGTCTGCTGTTACAGAGCAGCTGTGTCCGTCTGTGAAGGTCTGTCCACAGGAAATGGCCTCAAATGCTCAACCTCCTCCTCATGCTTCCCAGGTGGGGTTGTCACAGCTTGTGCTCTGCCCGCTCACATCCTCCACCATGTCCCCAGGCTGAGCACCATCAGGCCGATGCCTCCCCATCTGCACCCCACGCCAGGCCTTTCCTGACCCTGTACCCCATCCTGGATGCCTCCCAACGGGGTGTCTGTGTAGAGCTCTGGTTCCTGCTCCAGTGGGGCACAGGGCTGGGTCCCCTGCACCTCAGCATCAAACCTACGGCACAAGCCGCCCTAGGTCCCACCCCCCAGTCGCACCCCCCACCACCTTGGTCTGAGCTCCCGCCTTGCCTACCCGAGGGCCGCACTGTCTGTCACGGCTCTTCTACCGCAGTGCGTCCACCATGCAGCAGCCAGAGACTTGTAGCACAGGTCAGGTCCTCCCAGAGCCTTCCCACTGCCCTTGCAATAAGCCTTTCCCTCACCTCTCTCCCTCACATACCACAGCAGCCAGGTCAGCTGTCCCCGCCGCACCCAGGCACCACAGCCCTCTCCACTGTGATCGCCCCATATGGCCCCCAGCTGTCCCAGCAGGTCTGGGCCCAGAGGGCCCCCCATCCCCGTGGTCCAGATCATCTCTGTGTCAGCCGCACACCAACGTCCGTCCAGGGAAGCACTTCCCTCCTGCCTTCCCACCAGCACTGACGTTCCATGACAGCAGGAATCCTGCAGCCCCAGCTCGGCACTGGGCCAGGGGAGTCTCAGGTCCACATAGACATGTGACAAACATGAGCAAATGAAAGAGCAAAGGAAGGTGTGCGTCAAGAGGACAGGGCGAGCTCCTGTCCCCGAAGTCCCAGGAGGTGCCTCTCCCCCTTCTCTGCAGCACAGGGGCCCGAGTGAGTCTCACACCCTGGCTGGTCAGTGAAGAGCATCCACATGGGAAGTGCTGCGACCTCTGCTGTGGTTTGGCTGTCCCTCCAGAGCACATGCTGTCATTTAATTGTCTCTGAGCCAATGTGAAGAGGTGTCCTGTAGAGGGGACCAGAGCCATGGCTGGTGTATGGATGCCGTCCTCCGGGAGAGGGCTGGTTATTGCAGCCCAGGGCTCCTGGCAAGAGGGTATGTTGGGTCCCCAGTTTTTCTCTCCTTATTCCCACACCAGATGGCTGGGCAGGTGCTGACACTGTGCCCTTGGACTCCCAAACTCTAGAACCATCAGCCAAACACACTTCTACTCATTTTCAGTTACCCAGCCTGTGGTGCTCAGTGACAACAGCACAAATTACACCACAGCAGCCTCAGTCATCCACTCTGTGGCTCTCTTGGCTTGTGGTCAGTGTGCTCTAGACCTGGCTGCATACCTGGCCTCGTCTCCTCAACGCTCCCACTTCCCTGGAGCCCTGGCTGGAGTCTGCCCAGGCCTGAGGCTGACAAAGACAAGTAATTTCCCAGCTGTATCGTCCCCATGGATAAGTCTCCCGAGCAGTCACAGGAAGGACAAGGGGTACTACCTCTCAGTGGCCACCTCTGTCCAGCCTCTGTGCTCAGCCTCTCACCAAAGGCTGTGCCTTCCAGAGCCCTGAGAGGAAGATTCCCACAGGTGCAAGGACTTGCAGGCACGTCTCCTCTGCTCTTCTAACTGACAACGACTGAGGCCTGTCTCTGGTTGCTAATTTTTATTACACAAACACCATAAACAGGGTACCAGCCACTGCTCTTTTTGCGCTGGATCTGAGAAAGGTGGAACTAAGCCAGCATCCGCCGGTCCCCATGAGTGTCACTCCAGCACACTTTTCTTCCTGCTGTGGCCCCAGTTCATCCCACCCTCATTCTCTCATCTGGCTGTCCTCTTGGCTTCTTGTCACGTGGTGGACATCAGGCATATAAAACCACAATCAAAGAAGCAAGTTGTCCTGACCCAGCTGGGCGGCCAGGGCTCCAGTCCAGTTGAGACCCACACTCAAGTCAACAGTGCCCACTGTGGCCGCTAAGTTGGGCTTCCTGACACCTCCCCCAGGCCACTTCTCAGTCACCTCCCCAGCTTCCCATGGGCTGGGCCTCTCCTACAGCCTTGTACCTCTTCTGACTATGTTTTGAAGGTTGCTGTACCCAAATTCTGGCTCTTAGCCTCTTAGCAGTGCCCTGGTGCAAAGCTGAATTTCACAGGAGAAGAAAGCACTACTCCTGGATAGCTCTTGCTCGCTGCTGGGGTTTGGAAGATAGGGAGAAATACTTGCTCTTAACGTGAAATTGTCACAGTCACACTCTGCCCTTTCAGTCTAAAACTGCAGGTCCATGGAGCAGATGCCGCCCTGGGATGCACCAAGCACTCCTCTCCCTCCTTGGGCCCAATGCTGCCCTCCCCACACCTCATCCTCACCCAGAAACCTGCCACACCTCCAAAGGCGGCAGGTGCACAAACGCCGAGTGGACTGTGCCCTCCCCACTCTTCACCTTTCTGCTGTCAGCTGTCTGTGGGAGCACATCAGATGGGAGAATAAAAAGACAGTCAAAGATCTCTCCCTATCTCGGTCTGACACATGGAAAATCTGGCGTGAAAGACGTCAAGAATCACCTGTTAGATCCTGCTAGAGCCAAGCCAGGCAATGGCAGTGTTTGTGACACCCACAGAGGAGGGCCCGGCGTCAAAGTGAACAGCCCCACCCTGGGGCCCAGCACCCTTTCTAGATCAGTGGCTGGTGTTTTGGCCAGCTCGAAGGTCCTGGGCTGGCCCCTCTCCTTTGTGGTCCCTTCCTGAAAGAGCATAAAGCCAGACCCTCTCCAGCTGCCTGACTGACAGCCACATTCCCATGAGGCCCCAGAGGACAACCCACCACCTGCAAACTGGAACCCCTCCACCCCCCACAACTACAGAGAAGACAGCACTGGGACTCAGAGCCCACCTTGCAAACAGGGGCAATGTGGCCCCCAGCAGCCCCAGGCCCTTGTGAATATAAAAGGAGATCCCAGGTGAGTCTCAGATAAACAGGAGCCAGGAAACGGTCACTGAGGAGGCTCGGGTGCAACTTTCTCCCAGATCACAGAGTGAGGACCAAGGACAACTCAGTGCTTATTCTGAAAAGAGAACCCCTGGTAGAAAGTGGGGGATAGGCCTGTGACATGGTGTGAGCGGAGCAGGGGTGCCAGCCAGCCCGTCCCAGAGGCAAGGACAGGAGCTGGGGCGCAGGCCCTATGTGTGCACCTGTCATATGTGCACCTGTCCTATGTGCACCTGTCATGTGTGCACCTGTCCTATGTGCATGTGTCCTGTGTGCCCCGTCCTGTGTGCATGTGTTGTGTGTGCACCTGTTGTGTGTGCACCTGTCCTGTGTGCGTGTGTTGTGTGTGCACCTGTCTTTTGTGCACATGTCATGTGTGCACATATCCTGCATGCACATGTGGTATGTGCACATGTTATATGTGTATGTGCTGTATGTGCATGTGTCGTGTGGGCATGTATGTGTATGCCTGTGTGTGTGTTCACATGCACATGCGCTCGTGTGTTTACATGTGTGCATGTCTGCACATGCGTGCAACTGTTTGTTTATGAGCATGTGTGTGTCTGGGGAGGGGACCAGGCCTGCTCAGACTGCCTGATGGCCTGTAGAGGCAGAGCATGTGTCTGTAGCAGGGAAGTGGCAGGCCTGAGAGTGCACCTGCCATTCCCATTGTGACAGTCTGGGTCTGAGGGGTGCTGCTACCATTTCCTTTGTGAATGAGCAAGAGCCTTCAGGACAGACACCGCCACTGTCACCTCACCCCTCCCCGACTCCCAAACCCACGTGTGGAGCTGTCTGTTGGGCCATGTTTTTGTGTGATTTTGGTACCGGCCCTGGAAGGAAGCCTCTCCGTGGCTCTTCAACTGCTTTTCCCTCAGGGGTACAGCCTCCCACACAGGTGCCAGCGGGCACTGCAAAGATAGTGAGGTCTTGGTTTAAATACTACCTGAAGTTTGTCAGAAGGCCCAGCTGACAGCTGGCACACACGTCTGAGAAAAAAAGGACTAACCTTTCCTCTAAAACTTGTTTCCTTCAAGATGCACAAAATATATTACTAGCTTTGGCTCGTGATCCACCTGCTACCTGCCACCCCTGATCACCAGGGTTTAAATCCTAGGATTTGAAGGGTTTCCCATGAGCTGTGTAACATTGGGCAACTGGCTTAACCTCTCTTTGCCTCAGCCATAAAATGGGCAGCAACAGCCTCACCACACCTACCCTGAGGCCACACAGGCTGGGCACCTGGTAGGCACGCACCATGTGCTGTCTGCATGACCATGTCCCTCTCCCTGGGTGACCACAAGGAGGAGGAGGGGTTGGGGGTGGGTCAATCACCCATAGCCAATGATGTCATCAGCTGCACCGAAACCCACATGAGCACAGCTTCGGGGTCACTGGGCACAGAGATGTGCCCTTCCTCCCGGCCCTGCCCCAAGCATCCTTCCCCCAGCTGTTCATCCATGATCCTCGTGTAAACAGGGAAATGTAAGTGGAGTGTCTCCGCAAGTTCTCTAAGCTCCCGCAGATCAAACCTGAGGAAAACATGTGACAGCCCTGGTTTACAGCCAGTTGGCCAGAAGCACAGATCACAGCCAAAGGCCTGTGACTGAACCAGAGTGGGGGACAAGATTGTGGAACTCAGACTCCCACCCCCATGGGCTCTGGCATCAGTTTAGTAGAGGTGTCAAGCCTGAGTTAAATTACAGGCACCCTGGTGTTGCTGGGGACTCTGGTGTCAGAGTGTCCTGGTGAGCATGTGGGGGCAGAGGCAGAGTGCCCTTTGCCTATGCCTGTGCCACTCACACCAGGCCATCTCTCCCTCCCCCAGCTCAGCTCAGAGAGGGGGACAGACATGCTGGGGCAGCACCTGTTCAGGGCCTGGCCTGGCCTCCCCGTCACAGAAACAGAGCCTGGGAGGGCCCTTCAGTGGTGACAGTGTGGCTGAGGACTCCCCAGTGTACCCCTGCTCTTCCACATTGGAAACACAAGGTATCATTTCCATATTGTGTTATTTTGTGTGTATTTTCAACGAAGGTTAGACACAGGGCCACCCGAGACTGTTGAGAAAATAAACAAAAACAGCCAGACCCACTTCTTACAGAGCTTTGCGCTGATCAAATCCCACTGGAATGTCTGTACAGTGGCCTCTGTTCAGTCCCAGAAGGAAGGAAGCTCTAGTGCGAGCAGCAGAGTGGGCACCAGGCTAGGGGATAAGCCATGACCAAAGGACAGGCAGGACAGGCGTCCCTTCACAGGGCAGGTGTCCCCACAGAGGCTGTCCCTCGAGTTGTCACACTCATAGAAACAGGAAGTAGAAGGGTAGCAGGGACCAGAGGGACGGGGCTGGCGTTCATGGGGACAGTTTCAATTCAGGACACGGAAAGTTCTGCAGATGGTGGTGACCATCAGTGACCTTCCCTACACAGCAAACAGGTGAGATGGCCAGTGTTCCACAGTAAACACACCCCCTGACCCCGAGTCAGCCTGGTTTCTCTGTCCAGCCCCTCCCCACCTCTGCCGCCCCCGCCACGTGGGGCTCTGCACACCAGGGTCCCATGACCACAGCTCCCGCCCTGCCCTCGGAGGCCTTTGTGCTCAACCTCCGTGGAGCTGCCAGTTTCGGCCAGCCCCTCTGGGAAGCTGAGTCGGCACGTCCTGTTTGACGCCCAGCTTCCTTCCTTTCTCTGTCCGATACCGGCCTCTCCGGTCTGCACCATGTGCTGGGGAGCATGTCCTGCCCCGGCAGCACTGTCCCTGTGCCTCTTGTTGAAATGGCCAGGTGGCAATGGGACAGAGCCTGGGGAGTGCAGGGACTCTTGGTTCCCCTTTGCTGGGTCTTTCTGACCCTTTCCACAAACCTCTTTGATCTAACGGAAGAAAGACGTGTGGCCGGAGTCTCATGCCCAGCAGCTCGGGTGACATTTAAACATCCGCCCAGCCACCCTCAGGGCCCTGCTGTGTGTTGCTTAGCAGAGCAGAAGATCTAAGTGGCTTCTGCCATGAGGGCAGAAGCTTGTTTACTTTGAAAACAATTGTTTATCTCAGCCTGGCTGCGGGCCAGGCTCCAGCTCTGGTTTGTTATTTCTTCCCAGCATGCCCTGCCCGAGGCCAGCGCACCCTGCCCTCTTCCCTGACCTGCCCACCAACCTCCCGGAGCAGCGTTAGATGACATTTTTCTTCCCCTGAATGTTTAGGTCAAGCCAGCTTTACGGCTGCAGACTGGATGACTAGACACAGCCTTTGGGGCAGGGTGGCTGTCCCTGAATAACACTCTGGTCATTCTCCCTGGTACTGTCCCTTCCTGCTGTTTTCTGAGCTGTCTTTCCCTAGAATGTCACGTTTCTGCTTATTGCCTGCCAGGAAGACGTCACCCAGGGTGTGTGCTCCCCGCTGCTTCCTTTCTGCAGGCACCTACTCAGCCCGGCAGCAATGTTTTTAAAGCATGTGCTGGACACAGAACTGGAGGGGATGCGGAGCTGACGGAGGTATGGACACCAACCTCGGGGGACAAGGGAGGGGACAGGTGGAGGAGTGAGCAGAGGACAAGGGGAGGGGACAGGTAGAGGAGTGAGCGGAGCCCAGGCAGACAGGTGAGGGGCTGCCTCCCCAGCCAGCAGTGTGCTCTGCAGGTTCCCAGGGCTGATGGCAGCTGAGGAAGGTGGCCTCACATCAGGGACAAGCACCCTTCCAGGTAGTTTCCAAACACAGCAGCAGGCCCAACCGAATCAGGCACCAGGCCCAGCACCAGGCCGCCACCTCCTAGGCCCTTGCTGACCTGACTGCTTCAAACAGGGAGGGTGGGAGGGACCTGAGCTCAGTTGGAGAGGAGGAAGCTCTAGTCTCAGGCCGCCGTCTCCCAAAACGGCACACATTCAAGAAAGCACTATAAAGCCTCTCTGATTGCCCAGTGGCATGGAATGATCAGCCAGGCAGCAGGGGTGCAGGCCCAGAGTGAAGAGCAGGGTCAGACATGGACATCCTGGCACTGGGAACAGCCTGGGCTGCTCCCCTATGGAGTCCATGGTGTCGGGGCCCCCCGAGTGTGATAAGCTGGGACCTGGGACCAAAGGCAGCATTTCTTCTTCCTCTGTCTCTTGCTGGGCTTAGAGCCCCACAGAGCTGTCAGTCCTGACCCTGGGGCACTTACCCCACCTAGCATAGCTGCCTTTCCCATCCAACCAGGCTGGCCAGTTGCCACGAAGGACACTGGGGTGTTTGAAGAGTGCAGGGACCTGTGTGAGCTGCTTGGGTCCCTCTGACCCTTGACCCTGGAGGCTGACCAGAGGCGGCTGCCCAGATAGCAAATCCAGCCTCACTTATCAGCCTCAGACCAACTGGCTGGTGGATATGGCCTCCCATATAGACTCGGGGTATGTGCAGGAGACCTAGTAAACCGTGAGTCCCTTCTCCTACAGAGAGCACCAGCTCACAGCCTCGGATTACCTGGTATCCTTGATAAGTGGGAGCTCCTGCCTTCTGAGGATACTTGGCCCCATTACAGTCCAGACACAGTCCAGACACAGTCCTCACGGTAAGCCAGACAGCTCCTGAGTTCCTGTTCTCCTCAGGGGCACACCCCACCTGAAGGAGGAGGAGCCTTCTAGTGGCCTCGACCCCATGATGGTAGAGGCATGTGGTACACTCCAGGGGCCAGGGTGGAACCCCAGAGAACCTGGTGAGTGTCTGGCCATGCCCTCTCCTGTTGCCCCACCCCTGCACCCCCAAAGGCAGAGGGGGTCTTGGATTAGCCCTTCCCTGGCCTCCTGACACTGCCTTACCACATAGTCACAGCAGGCTGGAAACCAGGCCCCCAGAGGTACAGGACCCCTGCTCAGGAGCCCCCAGCCCACCCTTAGCACTCTTAGTCCTGAGCTGCGACCCAGGAGGGGGCCGAAGGGGTGGGAAAAACCATGGACAGCCCTTGAGGTGTGGGACACTCACACTCACCTGGTCTGGGGGTACCTGTACTGTCACTACACGGCCTGCTGACCCTCCAGGGCCCTCCTGCCTTTTCCTCCCCCTTGGGACCCTGAGTACGGGATCTGCTGGTCAATAGGCTCTCACTGCAGAGACTTGAGACAGGCCGTTCCCCAGGCAGTCAACCAGGAGCAGAAGGCCCTCATTGCCCAGACCAGGAAAAACGGAAAGGCCACTCTTTCCCTTCGGGATTCTTTTCCAAAAGTACATGACTCTTCACAGTTGTTCACCAGAGGCCATGATGGACTAAGAACGCAGCTTGAGGCAAGGAGGGTGTTAGCAGAGCGCTCATTGAGCATGGGGGAAGCCAAGTGCATCAGCAGTCCACCTAGAAACCACTGCTATGAAGAGAAACTGACAGTGGCCCAGAGCCCAAACCCACAGGCTGAGCTTCTGACACAAATGATGAAGGTTGAACCCTGCTGAGGGGGCTACAGCCCCGGGGACCCACTAGCAGAGGCTGAGTCAGAAAGCAAAAGGCCAGCTTGGTCTGCCCAGTTCACTCCTATTCTGAATTAACTAAGGACAAAGTCCAAGTTGCCAATCAGGTGAGTAGTGAGCCCAGGGCTGAGCTACGGCCACCGGGCCTGCTGGGAGCCCTGCACAGAGTGGACGCACTGGGCAGCAACTCCCACCCTGTGAGTTCTGCAAACTGCCGTGTTCTCCCTCCACATTTCGTGTTTTTCTTCCTGGCTGGTCCTCTTTCCTGCATGAATAAGGCTCTTATGCTGCATTTCTGCTTCAAAAGGAACAAAAAAAAAAAACAGTTTTACTAAGTTTCACTCCCAGCTTCCCTGGCGGTGAATGCAGGGCACTCACCATCCAGCGGATCACTCAACAGTCACCATTCACTCTGTCCACCTCTGCTCTGCTTCAGGAGGCCAGTAGGTGCCCAGTGCAGCCCAGGGAGAAAGCTACTTAAGAGTGGTTAATCAGCAGGTGACCCACTGCCAGAAATTACCCACTGCATTCATACCGAAACCCAGTCAGCCGTCCCCTCAGCGTCTGGTGGGACCGCAAGCTTTGACGGTGGTGTTCCCCATGGGAGGCCCAGATCCCCAAGGGTTGGGTTACATTCCAGTGAATGGTGCGTGTAGCGGACACTACAGGTTAGGAGATAAAGCAAACAATAGAACCAGATGAATCTGAACCATATCAGATTTTTCAGGAAAAAGTAGTGGAAGAATTTCAGAGACTGGATTCTAACTGAATAGGAAAAGGACTTAGGAAGTGGCAAGGCTGCCTCTCGTCCCCTTCATGTCCCCATTACTCCCGTGTGCATGTGGTCACCCTCCTTCAGCACCTTACAGGTGTCAGGACGGCAGGAGCAACAGTGCCCGGGCAGAGGGTTCACTCTGCATAGGGCCACTGCTGCCGGCTAGAGGAAATGGACGGCTTACAAGACATTTACAAAACTGAATCAAAAGTAATCACAATATTCATTAAATTTCACTCCTGGCTCTGACTTAGGGGCTTTCCTTAGAATATGTCATTCAGTCCTAATAAGGTGGGCAGTTATATTGGACCAAGCACGTTGCAGGGGTAAGGTGCAGAGAGGTACCATGGCAAGACCTGGTGTCCGGTCATCAATGGGGCTAAATTCAAGTCCAGGGCAGCCTGGAACCTACACCTCTGTTCTTAACCTACACAGCCTGATAAGGGCTGTTTTCCATTCATTTATTCACTTGAGTGAGGTGGGTGGTGCTCCGGTGTGTGGGGGTACAAGAAAGACCGTGCCCCTGTCCCCAGTCTGCCTTCAGTTAGGACCAGAAGAAAGCCCAGGGAGATGAGAACATGCTGGAAGGGTCCAGTGGCTCCCTCACCAGAACCCCGTGAACTCTCGGGGTGTTTGTCAAGCACCACCTTGGTGGCTCTGCTGGGATCTGGTGGAGAGATTTCCCACCACTCACAATGAGAGTTATCTATTTAGAAGCAGCTGCCATTCAGGAAAAGTTCCTTTTGTGTGTGTGAAGGTGAAATCTCCCTGCAATGTCTGCTTCTTGGTTCTCACAAGATCTGCCCTCCGGCTCCCCCACCAGCTGACACTGCTCCTTCTTTCATAGTTAACTCTGGAATCAGCTCTGAGATTCCCTGCACGTCCTTTCTCTATCTTCTCCAAGCTAAACATCAGAAGTCCCTTATGTCTGTTTTCTGAGAGGTGGGAGCAGAATCCTTATCCACCCAGCCATCCCAGAGGATGAGCTGGAGGTCAGAGAGGTACAGTGAGGTCTGACCTGGGTCCTGCTGAGCTTCAGGGCGGTGGCCCTTGGTCACACTTGCTCTCCACCATTGTCCTGGGGAGCCTCACACATCAGGCAGCAGCTTTGGAGAACCTCCATTCACGAAGGTGACAAGGACTGTGCAGCGCTCCTGGCACTGCGGTTGCTGCGGTAGGCTCGACCTGCACACTACATGCAGAAGGCTGTCTTGCATCAGCATTAATCAGCATCTTTAATGCTTGGTCCACAGGGAGCGCCCAGCATGAGCTGGTCGGGTGGACCCAGCTGACCTCTCCGCACCCATCAGCTTCACTTTGCTGTTCTTTGCCTGCATAAATATTTATCTTTGATGTTTCTGCTGGAGCAGGAACTGCAGTGCTGTGAGCTGTGTCTTCACTTCTCCTCGGCTTTCTCTGGGCTGGAAATAAGCCAGGGAAGAGTGAAGAAGAGCTGGACAGGGAGTCGGAGGTCTGAGGAATAATCCCAACGGTGCTGCCAGGCAGAACCTCCATGGACCCCAGTGTGGGGCCTCCCTGCAGAGCGGACTCTCTTAACCAGCGGGCATGCAGGACCCTTCTTGTCATGTAACCTTCTGAAGCAGAGTGAGCACTCCATCTCAGCTGCTATGGTCTCACCTTTTGACTACTCGGTGGCAACATCTAAATGTTTATCATGGTGAAACAGCATGACAGGTAGCTAATGTAGCCCCAGACGAAGCCCACACAATGCCCCAGGAAACCTCTCAGGTCCCCTGTCCCCTTCAGGGAAACCAGGCTGGTTTGGAGCAAAAGCCTTAATCTGGCTTTTCCTGGCACACACCTTTTTCTCCTGTATCCTGGCATACACCCCTTGGCTGCCAAGTAGGCCCTCTGGGTCCCCATGGTTCCTCTAAACCATCCACACGCACACTGTGCTCACAGCCACCCAGCTCCTTCCTGGGGCACCAGCCACGGCCACAGAGGACAGGTGTGCTAACGTGGAGGGGAACACAGAGCCAGGGTCGGGGCAGAGAGAAAGAAAGCAGGTGTGCTCAGCAGAGGGGAGCACAGAGCCAGGGTCAGGACAGAGAGACAGAGAGCAGGTGTGCTCAGCAGAGGGGAGCACAGAGCCGGGATCAGGACAGAGAGACAGAGAGCAGGTGTGCTCAGCAGA